GGGGGGTGATCAAAATAGCAAATAGCTTGGCGGTGATGAAGACACGATTATTAAACACGGCGATAAAGAACATTAATAAAAGTTTTGAAAAATCCGATGGCCAAATTAATTTCTTTCCATATTGCCGTGATGTTATCGCGAGGCTTTAATCAGCTTAGAGGGCGCCGGTTTTCCAAGCATAGGCGGCGATCGGTGCCAAGTGCTGATGCAGTCGAACCGGGCCCGTGGACGGGCTGTAAAAACACGCATCCTTTGCGATCGTTTAGTACGATTTATTTTTTTCCGGCTCTTCGAACGTGTAAGGCCCACGTTCGCACTGTAAAAAGTTTACGAACTAAATGCTCTGCAACGTTACGAACAATTTCCGTTCTTTTTATTGCAAAGCGATTGTTTGTAAGGCTAGACAGGTTCTTACGAACAATCCGTTTCATTACGAACTATTGTTCGAAAGCTTGCGAACAATTAGTTCGTAATGCAACGCTTCAAAATCCTTCGTAGGCTACGAAGGTTTTGGTTTGAATTAAGAACCTATTGTCGTTTCAGTGCGCGCTGGTGATGGAGATTTCTCTTAAGAATCGCGCCTTGGTGGGCCTCACTGTCGAAACATTGCTATTTCATTCACGATTGCTTATACGTCACAGCAGTGGCCTAGACCGAGTAGGCGAAAAAGCGACGGAAAGTTTTGGCGAGATGGTGAGTTTTGGCAAGTGCAGAAGCTGGGGCATTAGCGGCGCAAGGTGGGCGGGGGGACTCGACGGAATAGGTGGGAGACTTCGTTGAAAATGTTTGGGTTAACTGTGTGTTGCTCTTCTAAGGAGACAAATACAAAAACAATAGTCAGATCCGCCCAATTTCAGTTGAAAGCTAAAAACAAGCATTTTTGGCACCCAGCCTAAATTAAAATGAATGAGACTGTTTCGCACGGAAGGCAAGTCGCAAAAAGGCTTAGCCGAAGGATTTCTTCATAAGAAATGATAATCGTGATGATTAAACCGATGCCCTGTTGTTATCTATGCTAGCCTTGCCGACCTGCCCTAACCAGACCTGCCGTGCGCGGGACTGGGATACACCTTATCAACGTCTGGAAGAGACCAATTAATAAGTGACAAAACGTAAACTGCAATAAAATGAATGAAATGAATGAGAGTAGACTGAGTATATCTGACAACGGCAAATGAAACTTCATATTTCAGACCTGTGTTTAAGACAGTTGAGTCCATTAATTTTTCGGCTGTACCTCTTTGTTTTCTTTTTTATCATAGCAAACTTTGAAGGCCACGTCTAATCGATATGCCACTGAAATTTTAAATTAAGTCTCTTGTTTAGAACTGTTAGGTTACATCGACCTATAAAATGCATTCAACCTACAGAGGTTTAAAATGACGAGACGTTTTTTTCTTCTAAACATTGACAAATCTTTACGATTCGACCCACATCTTTTGTCCATCTTTCGTTTCCAACAAATCCGAGTCCGTTTTTGTTCCCACCCCCAACGGGAACCCTAGCTAGCTCAAACGTGTACTTAGCGTCATCACCCACCCCGAGCGGTC